CATGATTTTAATAAACATCTGCGGCAATAATATGGAATTTTTTCCGTCAGTGTATACATAGTACCTGCCGGATAAGACACATATATCCAATATTTGAAATATACCAATATTTGAAAAATACAACTTAAAAAGTCATGTTAATTAATCATTCTATTATATGTTAATGTTTCTAAGATTGTATAATTATAGTCGGAAATAGAAGATTTCAATTTATCTAAATGATTACCGATACCTTTAATTTTAAGTGTGTTGACTCTATTTCCTTTTCTTGTAGTATTTAGTAAGTGATGCAGAAATCTCTGAGAGTGCTTCAATAAGGACTGATAAATCTTTGATTGATCCAGCTTTTTCATCTTTTAATTCTTGTTTATTTTTGATTAATTCAGTTGCAACATTGGCTAAGATTAATTGTTTTGTTGCATTTTTACCTATTTAAAATAATTTGTTAGGCTATGCCTGCGATATACTTTATGCAAAACTAATATAACTTACATCTGTTACAATCTTCTAATAAAAACAAAATTGCAGCAATTGCATAATAAATTGCCATTTCTGGTGATATAAACGTTCCCAAACCAGTCGATCCAAATTTAAGGGCTCTTTTCCAGAGTTTTGGTTTAATTTTACGATATAAATTTAACACTTCTTGTTCTTTATTTTCAGCATCTTTCAATTCAACTTCTAGCTGATCGATTATCTCTTTGACATCATTCGTATAAGATTTAAAATTATCATTAACCTCCAAAACTTCATTTAAAATGTTCATAATTTGTCCAAATAAAGCCTGTGAAATCGCTTCATGATCTTTAGTTTCAACAGATAATGATTTTAGCTCTTCAATAAAATCCTCATCGTGAAATTGTTTTATCATCAACAAGATCTATGAACCCCTTCAAGTCCGTAATATAACCTGATAATTCGGTACAGTGATCAACAGACTTCTCAGCAAAGTCTCGAAACTCTAACCGAAATTTAATGACTTTCTTTATTTGATTTTTAATCATAATATCGTTAGTCTTCATTTGTATACAATCTATTTTTTAAGGAAGATATTTCGTGGAAATCGTCGGATTCACTCATTTTTTTAATATCGAAGGTTTCGTGGAAATTGTCTGATTCGCTCATTTTTTTAATATCTAAGGTTTCGTGGAAATTTTTGGACTCGTTCATTTCTTTAATTTTGAAGGTTTCGTGAAAATTGTTGAGCTCGCTCATTTCTTTAATTTTAAAGGTTAATTATGTAATTCGGAATTTATTTCAATATTCCGTTATATAAAATTTATAGAAGAAAACCCTCTATTTATTTAAAATTAACAATATATCATATTTTGAATTATAATCTGTTTGATGATGTAACGTCTGAAATTAGATGAATTATTTACTGCTATGCATGAAATCCAACTTAAAAAATGTCAAAGATAGTTACCGTACTTTATATAGAATAAATGATAACACGTTGAAGATATACCAAATTTTGTCATTCTTTGTAGCAATTTATCTCAGCGTATGCATGTGAATAATTGCTATAAAGTATTTTATTCTTTACTTATTATTTTTATGTAAAGAGATTGAAAAATACTAAATTCTTTGTACTCTGCGGTATACATAGAATAAGCACTCATTATTCTTGGTGTAATGTTTCTATGCAAAGAGATTGAGTGTTCTAAATCCTTAGACTGATAATTTAAGAAATTTATGTTCAATGTGCTACTGTAGTTTATGCATTATTTCTACGTAGAGAGGTTGAGATTTTTAAATTTCTCACGCTGTACGTATGTACATACGTACCGTACTTGGAATTGGCGTACATTGATAATGCTTTTCTCTCGAGAAATCAATGATAAGAGTTCTCTGTAATCAATGTATGCCTTAATCACTTTAGGTAATCTCAAAAGGAATAAACATGAAATACACTATTGGATAATAAAGTTCTGGATCGCATTACGGAATATGTAAAAAATTATTATTATTATACTAATTAAAATTATAAAATTTCCTACGCCGTACGTATCTACGTACGTATGTACTTGGAATTGGTAATTTTAGATGGACAATACTTTTCTTTTTTTCTCAAGAAATCAATGATAAAATTCTCTGTAATCGGTGTAGGTCTTAATTACTTTATATAATCTCGAAAAAAAGTAAATAATCTCAATCAAGTTAATCGCATTACATAAATTTCTCACAACGTACGTATGTATCAAGTTAATCAAGTTATGAATCGCATTACAAAAAAAAACTTTAAAAAAAAACAATTATATACTAATTAATATTAAAAAAAATAAAATAAAATCACGATCGATAAGATTTATTTAGACTTAAAGCAAATAAACTTATATATATTTCCGTAGGAAATTTCACTTAAAGTGTAGCGGTAGGAAATCTAAAGCTTCAATCTCATTATATATACAATTGTATAGAGATAATGTATAGTATCAGATTTGTCATATCGAAATAATTTCTCAGATTATCAATCTCAATGCAATGAATCTAAAATTTCCAATCACATTATATAGAATAAAAAGATAACAATTTCATTGAAATCAAATTTGCCATTCTTGATAGTGACTTATTTTTAAGCTTCATTGTGTATTGCTATATTGTACTTCATTTATTCCAATTTTCGAAATTTTTGCCGATTTATACACAATTCTTTTCACGCTTATTTAAATATTAAATCTTTACACAAATACAACATTTGAAAGAGATTGCTTTGCATTCAAATTGTAAAGATCCCAAATTCGAGTTATGCAAAACAGCCTTGAAAAATATCTTATCTCCCACAAATCAACTGGATAAAGCGATATTTGAAGTCTTAAAAGCTTTACAAAAATTTAAAGTACTACTTAAGAAACCAGAAATTACGAACATACATCAAACAATTGATAATTTTATCAAGTTAAGCGAAGGCTTGTCTTCCGAACTTTATGAAATTTCTTCATTTTTTAGTGATATTAGTCAATATTTTGAATAATTTCAAATGATACAGCTAAGGCTAATGATTTGATTGATTTGTTAGAAACGTCACTTAGTGAATCTAATGAAAGGATGAGATGTGTCATTGGTCTTGAAAATGATTTAAATAATATTGCTAATGATCTCAAATTTAAGTAAATCATGCTTAGTATCGCATGTATTATATAACCCAAATATGGTTAATAGCGATAGTGAAATGAGAACTAATAACGAGATTAAGATGTTTGAAGAAATAGTTGCAATTGATGAAGGAATTAAAACGATTAAAATTCAATTCGAACTGCTTACTAGTTTTTGGAAAGCCCATAATTATCTAATTGATAACTTGGTTAAATTGCTATATGATCGTACAAAAAAAAAAAACTCAACTCGTATGTTAAAATTTTCAATGGATGATTTTGAGATGACAAGCCTATGGAAAAAAGTGATAGTCAAATGTGAGACTGATTATGGTAGAGCAAATGATGCTATTGTAAATGGTTCATTTCATAATACAGGTAAGGTAAAAAATTTATTCTATAAAAAAATATATATTTTTTTTTAACTAATAAGTTTAAAATGAATTAATTGTACACGCATTATAGTCATCGATATATCATATGACACTGGTAAAATAAAAATATATTGATATATTATTTTTGCATTAACTATATATTTATATCTAATAATTAAATTCTCGTTAATAGATGTTGGTCCGAGTAATATTGATTTTATTCCTGTCAATACCAATAATAACGGTAAAATAATCTTATGTAAATGTATCGCTGTGATTATAACTGTTTACGCCTTTAATGGTATTTTCTCCGTACTTTCCTAACCATCTTTAAGGTAGCATTGGAAATTATTATCTCTTGCTCGTATTAGGGCAAATTTGCCAAATTATTTGGGATTTTTTTACTGCTATTTTCATAATTTCTGGAACACCTGATAAAAACTGAACGAACGATGTTCGGGCCGATCCGATTAAGTTTATAATAGATTCAATAAAATCGATAACCTACGTAATTTAAAATCAA